GCTGAGGGCCCTGCTTGGCCCCAGTGACCGCAGGGTCAGCTGTGTCCAGCGACTCGGACATCTTCTCACAGATGATGTCCACCAGCCTCTCGAAGGTTTGCTTCACGTTGATGTTGTCCTTGGCACTGGCCTCGAAAAACTCAAAGCCTGAGGAGAGGGAAATGTTTGGGAGAGGAGGTAGAGGGATACAGAACACACACACATAGTTTTAGCTCATCTCATCCCTCTGCTCCCAGCTGTGGGCAAGCTGCACTCTCCCTGCATAACCCAGGAGCTTCTTTATGGCTGAAAACTGCCTGAATATGGGTTTTATCCTTCATTTTAAAGCTCTGCCTTAAGCTTACCTGTTCCCCCTTGCCCCTGCTCCCCCCTGCTCCCTCTGCATCCAGCTGAGCATCGTCGGAAACATCACACAGCTCCTCCTCTCCTTGTTAAATATTAAAGGGCTCAGCACACCACACATCCAGATCCCCCCACTGCCACCTGCCCCCACCCGTGGCCACTCATTTTCCACCCCTAAACACCCCCATTCCCCCACCCACAGCACCTCTTGGGGTGTTCAAGGGGTGGTGATAACCCCCAGCAGCGCTCACGGCGCGATGACTCTGTGTTTTTGCTGCCAAGTCACCGCTGGTATCGGAGCAGGATGATTCCAAGGAGGGAATTAAGGCCCTAATTTAATTATCTGTGGGATGACAGCCACACTGAGGTGCTCCCCAACTCAGCTCACCCAGGTGCTCAGCCAGCTGGCGACCCTTCTCCGAGGAGACCACGCGTTCATCCTCCATGTCACACTTGTTCCCCACCAGCAGCACTTGGGCGTTGTCCCAAGAGTAGGTCTTGATCTGGGTGGACCTTTGGGAAGAGAAGAGGGAGAAGAGGTGTGGGGAAGGGTTGAGGGAATGGCTGTGGAGGTTTTCAGGGGTGGCCTGGGTGCTCACCAGTCCTGCACAGCGTTGAAGGACTCCTCGTTGGTGATGTCGTACATCAGGATGAAGCCCATGGCGCCGCGGTAGTAAGCAGTGGTGATGGTACGGTATCGTTCCTGCCCGGCCGTGTCCTGGGTAAGGAGAGGGGGGCACAGCACCATGTCACCCCTCAGGGTACTCTGAGGGGCACTAGGAGCCAGCAGAGTGCCCAGGGGTATGTCCCACCCCAACTTGGTATCATCCCCTCCCAGTGCTTCCAGCCACAGCAGAGAAAAACATCACCACCACACCATGTGCCC